TACTGCCTGTAGAACAGCTTCAGTCTGAAGCCACAGAAAATGCACAAGGGAAAGACTGCACTCTCCTTTTAGGACATATCTTTCACTACAGACCTTCACATTCCTTTGTCACTTGTTTTCCTCAGCTTCTAGTAATGTGTACAAATGAGTAATTGTGCTTTTCCATTAATTACTTGTTTTTGCTGAAGCCCTCAGCAGAGCAGTGTAACAATCTTCACTGGAACATCTGAGAAATTATAATGTTAAGTACAGAGGAAGTAATTAAAATTTTTATTAAAAAGACATCAAATTGATAACCAAGGTAAAGTATTCACAAAGGACCTTTTCTAGTATACTAAAAAAAACCCGTTTATAATACAGACGCCCAGCTACAACTTGAGTAAATCAACTCTCTAACAAAATTAGGCTGTGCTTTCTCAGATAACTTTCCTTCCTCGGCATACCCAATCTTGCTGGTGTTCAGCTTCACTCAGCTGATTTTATCAAAACAGTGGTTTTAGTGGCAGCAAAACAATTAAAGCTATAGTTCACAAACTGTTCCTGCTAGACTCATTAAAAATAATCTGCTAAAAACAAGAGAATGTAAAATCTTGAAAAAGAATTTTACAGAAAAAAAAAAGATAAATATGGAACCACTCAAACATAAGGATCTATCTCATACACAGAAAAATAAAGATCGCTCTCAAAATGTCAAGTTAGTAAAGGTGAACTTATATGAAAGGTAAATAAATCCCTATGAAAAGCGATTGTCAAAAAAATCCTAAAATCTATCAAAGACTTTAACCTCCATTTAAAAGAAAAGGTGGGAGAAAGTGCCAGTCAATATTTGAAGCTGTTACGCCACAACTTGTACATCAGCAATTTAAAATTCTGCTTTAGCCTACAACTTGAGCTCTGCTACTCAACTGCAAGGGAAATACCTTACTAGAATGCAGAAGACGTACAGTGCATTCAGCATAAAAACTCAGAGAAAAGACATTTAATAGAATTAATAATCCTCATGAAAAGAGCATAAAAATCATACAGACCATGCTACTTACTTCAAAAAGGCCTCATTCACAGCTTCTAGAAACTCTAAACTGAGAATTTCTTTTGATGCACCTCCATGGTAAAGAAGGAGAGTTTCCAGCAAGGGAGTTAGATCAGGCAATGTAACAAGAGGGAGACAGAGAAGGGACACAGCATTCACACGACTGGCAGAAACTCTGAGGGGAAAAACATTCAGAAAAGCCAAAACTTTAATTTCTAACTTGAGACGGTAAAAGAAGATTAAATTAATTACAGAAGGTTAAATGTAAGAGATGCATACCTAATTGGTGAAAAATTATTTTTTTGTGTGACTGTTGACATGACGTTATGTATCGCCTGAAGAATGTTAACGAGAAGTTAGATAAAATTTTGGTATTTTAGTGCTCAAGGGTTTGCCTTGAGCAAAACCCTCAGTCCAATTCTGCAGCCAGTTGTGTTTGCTCAGTAATCACATCTATCCTAGCAGAGAGAATGCTTTGTCCTTCCCAGCAAAGCACAAGTAAGGAAAACTACAGATTCACAGCCCCTGTGTAGGTTTGCTGGACCCTCATAAGAGACCATGTTGCTGCTTTTAAGATCACCTGTTACTTCCTTGACCTCTCCTCTCTCAACAGAGACAACTTCTATGAACAAAACAATACACATCTGCTATCTCCAAGTGCTCAGTTGAAAAATTTTTGTCTTACTGATCTACAGTTCAAGTACTATGTAACACTTTTGGATCTTAATATATGAACCACTCATTTGACCTGCTCACTAAAACTACATGCTTGGAAATGATTAAAGACAGTGGAACATGGAACATAAACAAAACATGAAACTTTGGAACATAAGTGGAACAGCAGTGTGCCCAGGTGGCCAAAAAGGCCAACAGCATCCTAGCTTGTATCAGAAACAGTGGGACCAGCAGGACCAGGGAAGCAATTCTTCCCCTGAACTTGCCATTGCTGAGGTTGCACCTTGAACACTATGTTCAGTTTTGGACCTCACACTACAAGAAGGACATTGAGGCACTGGAGCGTGTCCAGAGAAGGGCAGCGAAGCTGGTGAAGGGTCTGGAGAACAAGAATTATGAGGAGCGGCTGAGAGAAGTGAGATTGTTTACTTTGGAGAAGAGGAGACTGAGGGGAGACCTTATTGCTCTACAACTACCTGAAAGGAGGTTGTAGTGAGGTGGGTGTTGGTCTTTTCTCCCAAGTAACAAGCAATAGTACAAGAGGAAATGGCCTCAAGTTGTGCCAGGGGAGGTTTAGATTGCATATTAGGAAAGGGTTATCAGGCATTGGAATGGGCTGCCCAGGAAAATGGTGGAGTCACCATCCCTGGAGGTATTTAAAAGACGGGTAGATGAGGAACTTAGAGACCTGGTATAGTAGTAGACAAGTTATGGTTGGACTTAATGATGTTAAAGGTCTTTTCCAATCAAATTATTGTATGCTTCTACGATAAACAAAAAGGAAAGTCACATGCAATAGAAGAGATAACGGTTGCAAAAGCAAATCACTAATTTCCCAGAGTGTATTTCATTTCTAGCACATGAAACGGCAGATTTTTCTAGTTGCAGTTTTAACAGGAAGACATTTATGAAGACCAAGAACTCAGATATATTGAATTCTAGCATATTAAAAACTGCTAGATTGTCTGTAAAAGATTCTTCTGATTACACTGTTCACTAAAATGATGCATTCTTTCCAAGAACCCAAAACTGTTTTCTTTGCAGAGCCACCAATACAGCCTAAGAAAAGCTGAGACAGGAATTACTGTACAGGCTGCTCTTATTCAAGAGCTAACTCTATTGCCCTGCGCGTATTAAAACTACTCTCAAATAGACGTTGCCTAACAGTCACTGGCATATGCTGTGACAGAAGTGCTAAGCTTTGTGGACACAAGGTACCATTGTGGTTTCCACAACAAGAAAAATAAAACAAGATACATTTTCAAAGACGGAAATGTCTGAGTAAGTACCTAACCAACTATGTGTTTAAGGCTTCTTTCAGTGAACTACTTTGAGATGCAGCATTACTAAGAAAAGTGTTTCTGTAGGAACAGTAATTATTGGGCTCATATTTATTGTGCAGTAGTGTTTTCTGGGATACGCATGTAAAATTCACAGACCAGAGACTCTTTAAATCAGGCCCCTTTACAAAATCTGTTACTAATTCCTTAACTAGGATTAGTAAACTTTAGCAGTTTACTCTTCAGAATAAAAGCCTTGCAAAGGCAATTTTCTTCTTCTTCTACATAATCTACAAAATACATTCTTGGAGAATACTGCACAGTGCATTTCACTGTGTGCAATGAATTTGCACAGACATTGTCATCCATGTTGCTCTAAACACCACTGAATGGAGAAATGAGACAATGCATGCCTCTAACTGCAAACTACATTAGTCGCTGCAACTTGAATAAACAGCCGTATCATAATTTCTATGATCAAAAACCCTCTTCAGTTCAAGTTTTTCCTTTTCTCCTGGTAAAAGTCTGATATTTCTCTCCCCAACAGTCTCATTAGCTTTCAAACTAAGTCTGCTTCACCCTACTTTTTATAAAGTGGGTGTCTGTCTTGAACAAAACTTCGCGATGCTCCTCATTAACTGTGTCCATGATTCTGGTACTAAAGTCAGCTCTAAATGAATTCAGATAATTTGGTCTTCTTTAGACAAACACCTATGTGCAAGAAGGGAGAAAAAAAGCCCAGCTATTGGCTCATGATACAAGGAAGTATCTAACAGAAGGTAAATGAGAGGTTCTTTAAATAAGCATGGACAATTTTATCATTAATAACAAATGCAAAGTAACTACTGTTCTGGAATATTAAACTAGCACCCACATGAACAGGGGAAAAAATCCTTTGGAAACATTTTTGTAATTCATTCTTACAGTAACTGCCAGTTAACCTTGGTTATGAGGATGCATATAGCAGTCAACATTATGATTATGATGTTCACGAAGTTCAACAAAACCAAGTGCGAGGTCCTGCACCTCCTCTGTGAAGACAGACTGAGAGAGTTGGGGTTGTTCAGCCTGGAGAAGAGAAGGCTCCAGGGAGACCTTATTGCAGCCTTTCAATACATAAAGAAGCCTATAAGAAAAGCAGAGAGAGACTTTCTACCAGACCCTGTAGTCACAGAACAAGGGGCAACAGTTTAAAACTGAGAGAGGGAAGATTTAGATTAGATATAAGAAAGAAATTTTTTATTGTGAGAGTGGTGAGACACTGGCACAGGTTGTTCAGGGAAGTTGTGGATGCCTCCTCCCTGGAAGCGTTCAAAGTCAGGTTGAATGGGGCTTTGAGTAACCTGGTTTACTGGGAGGTGTCCCTGCCCATGGCAAGGGGTTTGGACCAGACGACTTCTGAATGTCCCTTTCAGCCCAAACCATTCTATGACTCTCAGGTTAAGTATAAACTCTTAGGTGAAGCACAACTTAACAAGCTTGTCTGGACCTGAAATTATCTGCATATATACACAAAACTTTCCAACTGAAGCCTAAGTTGCCCAAAACTTTAAAAAAGTCCTCACTGAACTGAAATGATCCAAACATATCAAAATGATTTTTACACAACACCTACCTCCCCTGAATGTTAAGTCCATTGAACCGATTTCCTCTGAGTTCCATTACTAATGAACAGACCATCTATTAAAGAAAAGAAAATAAAAATAAACCAAAACCAAAATAAACTACACATTATGAAATAAGCAGACATTAGTTGCATAATTCTCTCTGAAACTGGAGCTGAATACCTTTGCCTGTTCACTCATGTTTGATTTTTTAATTTTTTAATTATTGGAACCAAATTAAAGCTGTCCAGATCACTGAATAAACTATATTGAAAAATGTTTATATACAAGATTCTATGATTCTATACATAAATATTTATCTCTCTATATATGCACACATACATTATATACCTTCCACATTTGAAATCTAAAAAGCTATTTAATTTAGTTCTGCTTCCCCACAAGTGAAGCTGAAACTTTCAGAAGAGGACTACTAATATTTCTTACATGTTTTTCTAATTTAAGTCAACATATTATGAAATATTATTCCTTTATTTTTATATATTAAATGTAAAAGACCCTCTTCCTAAGATTTAGGGCTTATCTACAATTTTAAATGCAGTGCATAGTCAGAGAAAACATCCCAAACATTATGTTGTAATACACTATATATATATATAATTTAAACTTCACAAAGAAAAAAAATTATGATAGACCAGACACTTTTTTGTTATACCACAACAGCAACAGGAATTCTGTTTTTATTAACATCTATTAGACTATAATCTAATAAAAGATTTTCTCTTTTGTCCAGAGACCTCCCACTTCATTTTTTCCCTTAAAAGGCAGTAGAAGTAACTGAGGTAAGAAAAGATAAACGAAGTTCAGTTCATGTTCCTTATAACAATGATAACTCCATGATATGCTTATAAATTGGTGATTTATCATTAACAAGATCTCAATTGCACAAAGTACTTACATTTTTAACTAAGTGACAATAATAATCTGCTGATGTGTAGCCAAGAGTTGATAAGAATGTACTGGTTTCAGCTTCATTGCTTTCCCACTTAGAAGAAGAAAGGAGATGGCACAGCAAACTCTGTGAGAAATCAACAGAAGGGCAATAAAAAGTATTATGCTACAACATGTTGTGTAAAAAGAATTGACTGCTATTGAACTATATCTGGGGTAAGATCTCTTTATTTGCTGTTACCATTTTACACCACATCATTGAGAGAGAAGAGCATGCAGCTTCCATCAACCATAAGAAAAGTGCTGCAGCTGTTACAATCAAACGTGGGTTCACACACCACACAATTTCAGAAACTGTGCAATAGCAATGGATGCCAGAGAGATATCAGGTAGGTTTCAGTTGTCTAGTAGTCATTTCAGTCTGATATTATCTGTACAGCAGTAGTCATGTTCCTACACAGCAAAAAACTCATCTGTGGTCTTGATCAGTACCGTGATCAAGAAGAGAAAGTATAAAGTTAATATTTACTTTTCCATATCACACCATCAAGAGGTCTCAGTACTTTTTATGAGATTCTGGGTCTGGCCTCATAATTTAATTTGTTTTATTTCCTCATTATCTTGAAAAGATAGTGATAGAATTTTAGTTTGACATTTACTTTTATAGCACTTTCACTACGTAATGCTTTAAGTCACATTTAATAAAACCTATTCGATACATCATATACAAGTCAAAACAATCCTTTGAGGACAGTCAGATTAACACAACTGATACACTGGTTCTGTAGGCATGTACAGAGGACTCTGAACATACCACTCTGGTTTCAGAGCTTTCCTAGCTCTTCAGTGCTATACCCCAGCTCTGCTGTCTTCTGGACAGATCTTACACCCCAGCACCTTCCCAGATGAACTCATTTATGAAAACTGTTGTATGAAAGCCTGGTGAGGTTTTTGCATCCTGCTGTCCTAACTGAGCAGAGATAGTTCTGTGCTGCTTATCAAACGATCTGCTCTGAATTTGTTACAGTTTTCTTTCTGTCCTCTATTGCTACATGCTGATACAACAACAGCTACATTCGCTTCCCAGAGGTTAATTTCAAGGCCATATATTATCACTGACACTTGAAAGTATAAACTAAATAACACTTCGTATGGCAATAAGTATAAAATACTTTGTAACAGAGGGTTAGCAAACACTAAAAAAGACGTTAATTTTTAAACTAGTAATTAGAAGTAAAGTTCAGACAAAATCTCTGTAACTTCCATGATTTTAGGGGGTTTCACTCCACATATCCTTTTTAAAAGAGGGATCTGATGAAAGATTCAAGACTGAAAAAAATAAAAATCAGTTAGCTTGCTTTCTGCTACCGGAAGTCAAAACCAGATATTTATGCACACTTTTGCTGAACATCCCTCAGCAACTACTTCAGAAGTCCTGGAATTAGAGGTATTCCATGTATTCCATGTTTGATTAATATGAGAGCAGATACAATCAGCAGAAGCACACCAGAGGTCAAAGAAAATTCATTTCTATCAAAATAAGTAACAAGCATTTGGGACATCGTATTCATCGTAAATTTGTTTAGGATTATTTTACTACCTTGCATACTTATGTTAAATGCCGAAACAGAATTTTTTTCCTTATAAACCTTTTTGCTCAACAGAAGAAACTGCTGTTTGACTGCCATCTAGTGACTGCCCAATGCTGTGGCAACACAGTTCCAAAGAAGTAATTTACATATAACTTTTGTATTCATAAGAAAAAGACATTAAAAGGTGGAGTTTCAAAATGTATGAGTATCTAAATATAGTGAAAATCTATTAAACTTGCTTGCTCAACTACCCCCTCCCCTCCCCCCCAACTTTCCAGTGGGATAGGGACGCGAATCAGGAGAGAAAAAATAAAGAACTTGTCAGCTGAGATATTTAATAGCTATAACAAGCTAAACTTAAATGATAACAATGCCAATAAATTGTAACAAGAGTGGGAGCAACAATAATAAAGCAATCAAAGTTATACTCAGCTCACAAAAGTCAGCCACTGGCAGTAGGCCAACAATGTGACAGGAGGGGTAAGCCTCAGGAACCAAGAGAGGCCACCATCATGAAGGGAAGGGATCAAAGGGGACAAAGAAGAAGCAGGAAGAGGATGAAGGGGTCATCCCCTGCGAGCTTCCCAGTTTATAGTGAGACTGACGTTTACAGGATAGAATACATCTCTATTCGTCAGCTTGGATCAGACCTGACCTGGATCATCTGTCCTGGGTCACCTGTCCCAGAGAGTCCCAGGCTCTCGCTTCCCCTCTTTTTCTCTTGTGCAAAGGAAGGAAAACAAAAAATAAAACAAAACAAAAAAAAACCCAAAACAAACTGTAACCACAGATGCAGGCAAAACCTTGAAAAACGTAAGTATCTGTCAGTGAGAATAAAATAAATACTTATCAGCTTCATAGGGAAAACAACTCCATCCTGGCCAAAACTTCAATATTAACTTGAGTTCATTTAAAGAGAGCACTGCTGAAACACTAAAAGGGAATTCCACAATTCAGTTCTAGCAAAACCAGGACAGCCAGGAATAGCTAATTTTTAACTAAATGGCCATGAAAACTGTTAGTTTTACCTCAAGCCTCAAAGTTCAAAACATTTAATTTCCAGTAATTCTCAGATCTAAAAGGACCGTATCAGCAGTTATTTCACACCATACTGCAGAACTTGGTGAGAACCAGCTCAAGACCCAGTGCAAAACAATGTTTTCTTAAATGTAAGTTTCTCCTTTCACTTTTGAAATAAACCTTTTCAGAAAATACTGAAGAGAACTCCAGAAGGTTTCAGGAGATTTTCTCACAGATATTCTTACAGGATGCTGTAGAAATATTAAAAACTAGTTAACAGGTTCCATTATTGCATTATGAAGCCTTCACAAGACATTTTGGAAAAGTAAAAAAAAGAACAGTAACATTTCATATAGTCACAGTGTGGATCCCTGGGGTCAGAGAGACCAGTAATTTGAGACTAATGATTTTTAAGGAATCATTTCAGCCCCAGTAGAAGGTATTCAAGAACATGATGGGAAAGTTGTCAATGCTAAATGCACCTCTATATTTATGATCTTGGTCATCAATCCTAGCCTACTACAGCAAAGCAGACAATTTGGTATCTAAATAACCATCAGTAATTTCTTGCATTAAAGCAATTAACACTCACTGTCTAATCCATTAATGCCATATTCTATAAACCAGAAAAATGGATGAGGCTGTGGCAGAAGTGCTGCTTTCAGGAAAAATCAGAAGGTGTCATAATTATGGAAAATGAACAGCAGTGAGGCATACCGTGATATCAGAAACTATTTATTTCTTGACTTCTCTCATCATTTATTAAGTAGGAAGCAGGAAGGAAACCACCATGTTACTAGTTGCAAGAGAAAACATCCATCCTCATGGCCTTGGATTAAATTCTGTGACATAATCCCTTTCAGCCTGAAACTGAATTAAAGAATTTTCATAAAGCCCTTACAATGACCAACTTTCTTTAACAACTTTGTCCATGGCCTTATTTTACTGATGCAATTTATAGTGAGTAATATTACAGCTCACTCAATTTAACATTCCCCTGCTGCACTGAGAGTTCTAATATATTTAAACAGGCAGATAATCCTAGAAGCATTTGCACGAAGACAAAAAATCATTCCTTTTTTCAGTGTAAACACAGTACTCCATATCTATCAGGTTTTGTAGCAGAGGAAGCTTCATTTAACATTTAATCCTCTGATCTGTACATTGGCTGTAAGGCTGTCTTTATTAATTCACTCAGGAATAGTGGAGGGAATGAGAATAGACTTGAAACCAAAGAGTTCTGAGAATACAAATGGAAAAAACAAGTCGCTATGTTTCCTGGTTACTGTTCACCTGTATCTAAAGAGGACTAAGCAACTGAAAAACACTTCCTTCGTATCACTCTTCAGTTAAGCTAAGCCAACTCTTTTGATATTCCTCTTTAAGTAATAAAGGCCCATTTCCATGGGATTTGTTGAGTTACTCCATGAAGTTTGTTTCTCAGAGACAACCATCTCTTGGAGCATATGTGTCTGTGAAAGCCTGGAAATTATTTTCCTGGAGCAGAATTTGCCCCTTCACTGAGTTAAGTAGCACAGCACCAGGCAGATATCAACTCAGCTAGTGTCCACAGCTCCAGCAAGGGGGAGAAGGTGCTTTAGTCTTCTGATCCTGCCTTTACTAGGCAGGGATCCAAAAGCACTGGAGACTTTTTCCCCTTCTTTCTGTAACAGGAAGTATCTTCCTTCTTATGCCAATGCAGGAAAATATAGAAGCCTGGATTAAAGGCACAATTACCTCTGAAATTAGACATCAACACAGAAATAGCATTTGATTTTTATTACAGGACCACATGATAAATTCTGTGCTAGTAACTGCATTTGTGTAGCAACTGTCCTGGAATTTATGACACAGTTTCAAAAACATTCCAGGGGAACCAGATAAACCAATCTGTTTCTGAAAAGTATTTATGATTCTGAACGATCACAGACGCAGATGTGAAAATCAACAGGAGCAATATATTTTGAAGAGAGGAGATGGATGGTTTCACTGAGATAAGCCATTCAAACCTGATTAGTACTTCCCAGTGACACTACTGGGCTCTTTTTGCTAACTTGGATGAGTCAGTCAAAGCGATGGATAGAGCAGAATGGAATAGAAGAATCCATCATTTATCCTAAAGGACATTTCTCTTTAGTATATTCTCCTTGAAACACAGAATGCCATTATTTTTTGAGATGAGATTATTAATGACATTTTGCTGAAAATTACGATCTATGTGAATTTGCTGGAATTCATACAACACAGATACCCAAGGGTAAATTTCTGAAATCTGGTCAAGTAGCAGGTTTATTTCTGACCTTTCCATCTGCTTTGACAGGAACCAGATTTCCTCAGCTCTACTAAGAAAAAGCAAGTATAATAAGAAAAACTAAATCTTATTCAGAGGAAGAACTAGAAGTAAGTGCTATTTTCTCTTCACATTTTATCAGATTTTGGGATAAGTATTTCTTGTATGGCAATGATTTCAAGAGTCTATATATCAATTTTGTTCTTAGATATTCCCTGTACAGTC